ATAGCAAACGAGATTACAGTTTAAGTACAGTGACTATGGGTTCCATCGCACTTCAATAATTTATGTACTAGTACATAATATTAATTATTAAAAGACGTGACACTCAGTCTGTTCGGTGTGATTTAAGGATGGATTTCAACACTATGACACTTCGATAATTTTGGACTCTATCACACTTCGACAATTTATGTGACTTTAAAGACGAAACTGGCATGTCATTGTCATACATTGAAATGCACTTGAACAACAGACGTAATGAGACACTGGACAGGGTTGTGAATGACCTCACTAAACAACAGACGAACCGTCACTGAGCATTGATTCAGACGTACTACACATGACATTGTGTGAACGCGAAACTAGAAATCCATCGATGAGTCAATGCAATCACACGGTAAACAAGATGGGTTATGTATGGATTCCGGCGCACTTTGATAAAAATCATAAACCGATATGACATTGTCATATGAAACTGAAATGCACGTGAGTACCACGGATTCCGTCTCACTTCAAAAAATGTTGTACCCATGAAAAATTAAAAGTTGAAAATTATATCGGTAATTAAAAATTCAAAATTGTACCGACACGTGCAAGAAATCACAAATGCAAGATTGAAGTACGTCTACATTAAACGCTACAAGCCAACTGTGCATTGAACTACGTCTATAATTAAAAGCTACGAGCCGCAACAATGTAAACTTTCTAAAACGCTATCATTTACAAAATTTAAAGTTCTTACCGATGTCCCCGCATCCCTTTAGAACCAAACCCGTATAAGGCATTCATGGACGACCCGAAAACAAGGGTTTGTGGATGTCCCTTCGTCGCTACCCTCGAGAACACCGAAATGTACTTCATCCTTACAAACCTACAGGCACCTGCCAAGGACTTGCCGATGGCGTCACGCGCACAACATGTCACTTGCTCTACCTCATGCCACTTATGAACCTCGTCAATTCGACTGACAATCTCCAAATCAGATTGTCCGTTTTCGTACAGAAGGCGCAAATTCCCCATGTTGGGACCATAGATTCTGAGGTTGTTGCAAAAAAACAGCACTACAGCATCTACCAAAGTCCACTTTCGGTTTGAACATGCCACACACAACATTCTGCAGAAGTCGGAACCGGCCACAAACAATCGTATGCAACAATATGACACATTTTTTGGCTGTATTCCGGCACCGCGCAACGAATATACTTTTAAAAACAAATTGTAGGATGCACAGTCCAACAACTCTTGTTTCAAGTCTGCAGGCCACACCTGAGGTAACCTCGTGACGTTGTCCAGGCGAAGGTAAGACCGGTTATTTTCTTGCTGCCTAAGCGTGGCGCGTAGAGACGGAAGTTGCCTGACACCAATGGCATAATGAGGTACTTTGATCAGACTTCCCCACTCCATCGCGGAAGCAAATTTGTAGTCCTTATGCCATGGGCATTTCCTTGCCAAGATGACTCTATCATATTCTGCCTCAGACCACGCATCGATAGGCTTTTCAAAGAAGGGAGCGACGGTCATCCACGGGTCATTTTTGAACTCTGTTGTCATTGGCTCAACAATTTCGGCATCGCCTCCCGAACCATGGAATCCGAATGCACAAGGGTCCCTACACAAGACATGAAATACAAACATAAATGAAAATGAAATATCGAAATAGTACAAAAATCGCCTTCATGATGAACTTAACTTCGGAAATTGCTGAACCGTCACCAACCATCTAAAAATATTAAACCGTAGACCGTGGACAAAATTCGCTACGCAAAATCATCGGAAAAATAATATGCTCCATTCTGAATTCTCATCCGTTCAAACAGTTATTTTACAAAAATCTCACTCCCCCACTCTATAGGGCAGACGTGCACTAATCGCTCTTGTCCCCTCCATCTACACTCGCTTCACCAGATGGACCTTCACCAGATGGATTCAAATCGAGAAGTGCAGCTTCAGCATTCAGTCGAACACTGGAAGGAATGACAAGTCCAGTTGTGAATGGTCTTGTACCACGGACCGTTCTCTCCCAATCAAAAGCGATCGAGTCAGCATCCTGTCATTGTGTCTGGTCAGTCATTTTCCATCGTTTTTCCCATGCGTTCTCATACAGTTGTTCGAGCGACTTTGCTCTCCCAGTCGGCACCCAATATTCCACTAGCACTTGATTATAATTTTGCGAATTACAATCAACAACCACCCGAGAAAGAGCTTTGCCCACCCAGATTGGCACACCGCTGGACAGATCATCGTCGGAGGGGCGAAGGATAAGAAAAGTGTCCACGCCGACATGCACGAGGGGGTCGAAACTAGTCTTCGGGCGATTTTTTCTTCGTCCAACAAACAGCGGTTCCCTGTCATCGTCGATGTTGACACTGTGAGGAGAAGGTTGTTGATCCATTTCGAGCAGCCGTGGTCGTGGCCAAAAACTTCCTTGGGGCTGGGAGGACAACCCGTTGGCGATGATCTCATCGCCATGTTTGATAACCTCCTCCCAATAACACAAAGCTCTTTCTCTCCTACTCACCTCATGGTCATTGTAAGTGCACCACGTCGACCGCCTACTCTCCAGCAACTCGCGGAATCGAACAACACCATTTTTGCCATTCAAATAGTCATTTCGAGGAAGGGGTTGCACATGAGGCGGGTCAAACGGCCATGAAGGACCAGCATAGCTTTCATCGGGGTTTTGATTGAACCAAAAAATCGGACCTACCTCGGGCAACCATTCTTCGTCATTGCAAAACTCCTTGTACAACATGCCCAGACTATCTCCAACCATCAAAAATTTAAGCAAGTGCGGTTTTGAAATACTGGTAATGTCTGACGTAACGCACGGGTCCACTATACTAATCCAATCTTTCATCGTATCGAGGAAAATACATTTGGGAGGCTTTTTGTGGGATTGCTCTATGAGCTCGAAGAACTCGTCCATAGTATAAGCGTCTACGTCTTTCAATTTCTTCGAGAAAACGCTGAAAGTAGCGTCAACGTCTGTATGGGTGTGTCCCACCAGCATAAAACCTATTCTACCTCTTCAAGAACTTCGAACTTAACCAACAGTGTAGCCAGGGCACATATGTACTTGTTCTTGTTTTCCCGCCAACAATTATCTGCTTGATTGCGCAAAAACCGTGGCAGTGGCGTCCCGCTCCCTTGAATTTCGACAAGGGTTCTCATAACACAAGTAGCGACCGTGTTGGAATCGTGTTTGAAATACGGAAACCACGTGTATACATATATACTAGGGTTTCTGCCGTGTGCAATGACGCCTGTCAGATTAGTCTTCATCATCATCTCGTGCTTAAGTGCTTTCGAGTAGTTCGCTTGACCAATATGGGGGATAGTTGTTTTCTTCTGATCCATGCCGTCAATGATGAGACACAAACGCTCGTTCGGACGAACCATGAAATCAGTTTTCGCTTGACTGTAGTCCAATCTGTGGTGTGCTTTCATATCGTCTCGAGCACGTTCTCGATCTCGAGGAAGAGCAACATATTGTATACGTTCCTTCAGTTCATGACAGACGGCGCACTTCGTAAACGTGTTAGATTGCGCGAGGGAAACATGGAAAAAGTGTTTCCGCCACAACTTATAAAAGTTGGACTCAGACACGACATCGAGGCCAGCGGCCAGAAAGTCGGATTTAATGGACTCATAAATTGATCTCTTCGTGAAAGCAGCCGGGAGTCGAAGCTTCGGTCTGGAAACCCCACCTTCGTTAGCCACCTCATTCGGCATGCTATCCGAATGACACTCGATGAACGTTCTCATGCTGGCAAGCATGGTGACCGTTTTATTGGTTGGCCTATATTTTTCCGTCAGGCCATGCTCGGAACGCATGTAGCCATTGTCGAAACGCTTTTTGTAGCTGTAAAATGTATTACGCGAGACACCGAGTACATTGCAGTACGCCCTGACGCACATTGAACGTTCCAACTCTACAGGGCGGACACGTTTCTGTCCACCCTCATTTACTGTGAGATCCTTAATACTTTTTATCCACCACTCAGCTCCCTCTCCCGGACTCTTACTGTACAATCCTTGTCTAACCTTTCGCACTTCCTCAGGCGACACGTCGTAACAACATCGAGCCTTGCAACATGCCATGCCGCGCACCATGAGTAGTCTTTTTTCGGACAGCATGTTTCTCGCTCTTTTATATTGTTCTTTCCTCCTAGCGTTCCTATTAGCCATGCTATACCTTCGTCTTTCGCTTGGCAGAGGTGCGGGCAAAATCTGCAGTATCGCCCTTCTCTCTGCAACACCCCTGCCAGACGATTTCGACCCAGACTGGCTCCGACTTGGCATCGCATCATCACTTCGCATATGCGTTGGACTCGCCCGTGCTGTGGAAAGCTCCTTCGAAGAATAGTCGGTGGCAACCAACTTCGTAGTACTAGAGATAGCGCGAAGCAAAGGTCCACTGGAGTAGGATTGTTGTCTAGACGAGTAATCAGTGGCCACCAACCGCTCACTCTCGTCAACAGATGATGCGTAAGAAACACCCATTGGCACGCAACTGCTGTGCACCGAAGCTGTGGGGTGCACCTCGCAAGGAATGTGGAACTCTATCCGGGAGGTAGACGGTTCTTCGCCCGCGGACGTTGTTGCCAATTCTGTAGGCAGTTGAATGCAACCTCCAAAGCTCTCACGAAAAGCGAGATTTCGTTTTCTGGGGAAATCCGCAGCTGACTGTTGGAACGGCGAACTATCCGAAGAGGTCGTCGGGGCCAACTCCAGGTGTTGTAGCTGGCAATGCAAGTCGACGACTTGTTCAGTTTCCATAGCCCGGTTCATGCGGCCGTTCGCCGAGCCTTCTTTCGCGCCGTCATGCAACCGTCGGTGCAGCGGATGCGATTCCCGTCAGCGCAATGGATTATTCTCTCGTGTGCGGGTTGAACGGGTCATTCGAATTCGTGTCCACACCCTGCAAAACAGCGGAGCAAACTATAAGCACGGTCATATTTACGCGTTGAGGGCACAAAGTTCGCCGGGATCCGAATTTGGCGAGTGCAGGAGTAGCAAAGAACCTGTTTTCGCGCGGCTTGTGTCAGTGGAAGGTAGCGCCAGTGGGTGCACACAAGGAACGCTATGTTTGGGCGAACAGAAGGAAGGCTCTGTTGTCGGTGAGCGATAGCATGCGCAGAACAAAGGTTAGTGGAGGATGCACTAGCACACAATTCGGCGCATCGCAACCCCAAACTGACCCCTATAAACACCGATTCTCACCATCGTCTAAGCGAGGTCGTGCGGTGTTCAATTCGCCGGCACTAGTGCAATAGCTATCGAACACGGACATCTCCACTGCGCAGACAAGAAAAATGTAGAAAAGGATGAAAGATCCCCCCTTCAACCCTTCCAAACATTGATTCGGGCAGTCGAGAAGGCGACCCCCGATTCACGCGCCGGGAACGTCGACGTGTGACAGCGCGAACGTGACAGCACGCAGAAACACAAGCATGTCTGCGTCAAGACTCCGCACACCGCGACGGTCAAAACCCTTGGGGGGCAAAAAAAATAGTGGGTGCGGAAAATTGCTCGCCTTCTGAAATGCCCTTGAAGGGGTTTATGGGGGTTGCCGACGGTGACAACGGTCGTGTCCCTTATTTTCGGCAACCCCCATGAACCCCTTGAAGGGCATTTCAGAGGGCGAGCAATTTCTCGCACCCACAGTCCTCTCGCAATCAACTCACAGTCGAAGCTCAAGGCGCCACGCAAAGGACGGATAGATTCGCGTCGATCCCCAAAGTCCGCCAGGATCCGAACTTGGTGGATTCGCCTACATTTGGAACGGGTGGATGGCGTTTAAACAGAAGCAGGTGATGCTCGGGCGCACCACATTTCGGGGCGGCGATGAATGAAGATCCACGGCACACCGGAAATGGACCCGGCCAGCGACACCGTCGTCAACCTCAATAAACCCCTTTCAGGGCAACTCACAAGGCGAGCAATTTCCCGCACTACCAGGCCGCCGGCATTGAAGACGGACTGGGAAGTCCAAGCTGTTGAAAATAACGGTCAGATTTAACGGGGAGCCTCTAAGTTCTCCCGGATCCGAATTTGGCGGGTGCTGGAGTAGCAAGGAACCTGTTTTCGCGCGGCCTGTGACAGTGGAAGGTAGCGCCAATGGGTGCACACAAGGAACGCTATGTTAGGGCGAACAGAAGGAAGGCTCCGTTGTCGGTGAACGATAGCACGCGCAGAACAAAGGGTAGTGGTGGATGCACTACCACACAATTCGGCGTAGCGCGATCCCAAACTGACCCCTATAAACTCCGATTCTCACCATCGTCTAAGCGAGCTCGTGCAGTTTTCCATTCACAGGTACTTGCGCAAGAGCTTATCGAACTCGGACATCCCCACTGCGCAGACAAGAAAAATGTAGAATAGGATGAAAGATCCCCCCTTCAACCCTTCCAAACAATGATTCGGCCAGTCGAGAAGGCGACCCCCGATTCTTCAACAAGACTCCGCACACCGCGACGGTCAAAAACCTTGGGGGGCAACAAAGATCGTGGGCGCGAAAACTTGCTCGCCTTCATAAATGCCCTCGAAGGAGTCAATAGGGGTTGCCGACGGTGACAACGGCCGTGTCCCTTATTTTCGGCAAGCCCCATGAACCCATTGAAGGGCATTTCAGAGGGCGAGCAATTTCTCTCACCCACAGTCCTCTCGCAATCAACTCACACTAGCAGCTCCAGGCACCACGCAACGGACGGATAGATTCACGTCGATCCTCAAAGTCCGCCAGGATCCGAACTTGGTGGATCCGCCTGCATTTGGAACGGGTGGATGTCGTTTGCACAGAAGCAAGCGATGCCCGGGCGCACCGCATTTTGGAGCGCCGATGAACGAAGATCCACGGCACACCGGAAATGGACCCGGCCAGCGACACCGTTGCCAACCCCAATAAACCCCTTTCAGGGCAACTCACAAGGCGAGCAATTTTGCGCACTACCAGGCCGCCGGCATTGAAGACGGACGGAGAAGTCCAAGCCTCGAAGTCCACCGGGATCCGAATTTGGCCGGTGATGGAGAAGCAAGGAACCTGTTTTTGCACGACCGGTGTTAGTGGGACGGAGCGCCAGCGGGTGCACACAAGGAACGCTATGCTTGGCCGCACAGAAGGAAGGCTCTGCCGCTCTCAAGTTGTCGTTGTACGATAGCACGCGCAGAGCAAATTTTGTGGTGGATGCACCACCACAAAATTGGGTGCAGCGCGACCCCAAACTGACCCCTAGTGCAAGAGTTCATCGAGCTCGGACATCTCTACCACGCAGACAAGAAAAATGTAGAAATTGATGAAAGACCCCCCCTGCAACCCTTCCAAACCCCGATTCGGCCAGTCGACAAGGCGACCCCCGATTCGCTGGCCGGTAACGTCGACGTGCGAAAGCGCGAACCGTAAACCACGCAGAAACACGAGCATGTCTGCGACAAGAATCCGTGCACCGGGACGGTCAAAACCCTCTGAGGGCAACAAAGATCGACGGCACACCGACAAGGGACGCGGCCGCTATCACCGTCGGCAACCCCCACAAACCCCTCGAATGGCATCTAAGAAGGTGAGCAATTTTTCGCACCCACAGTCCTCGCGCAATCAACTCACACGTGAAGCTCCAGGCCTCATGCGAGCACTTTTGCGTGCCCGGAGGCCTCTGATAATCAGAACACACTCGACAGTCGTGGCCGTCGAAAAGGGCGGTTAAATTTACGCGGGACCTCAAAGTCCTCCGGGATCCGAACTTGGTGCTTGCTGGACTGGCTAGGAACCGGTTTGCGCGGTGGACGACGGATGGATGACTGGTGTGGAATTGCACAGAAGGAACGCTAGGCTTGGCTGCATGGTCAGGGAGGCCCTACTGCTGCTCACAAGGGTGTGTTCCAACAGAGCACGCACAACAGAAATGGTCGTCGCAGGCGCACCACATCGGAAATTGGCGCAGCGCGGCCCCCAATAGACCCCCATGGACCCCAATTCTCCTCATCGACAAAGCGAGCACTTGCGGCGATCCAGTCGCAAATGTTGTCATTCTTGATGACAATGACTGCAAGCCCATGGCTGGTGGACCCCCAATTAGTACCGCAGACAAGGCGAGCTCGCAGTCGGGTAATGGCAGGTTCCACAGCCAGGATCATGGGACCACGAACGGGTGCCAACCACGAAGTCCGCCCGGATCCGAACTTCAGATCGGTTGCCGCGTTCGACCGGGAGCATCAAACACTTTGTTTTTTCTATGGTCCCATTGATAGGACTGTTTTTTTGCATCGACGCCACCGAAAGAACAGTCATGCAACCAGGACTCTGAAAAGATCCATGCAAACCGTAAGCGTCTTATTTCAGCGACGCGCTCGAAACAACAATAATCATCGGAGCAGCTCGCGACTTCGCATGCTTCATATTGCAAGTCCGCCGGGATCCGAAGTTCGTCGCACGCTGACAACTGGCATGGCGTCATGAACTATCGACCCCACGCCCGAAAGCTGGAAACTGTGTCCCGCAAAACGTAGTCATCAGGGCAACCCGGGATGGCATTTTGACTGCGAACGCGAAACCAACGACCACCAAACAAAAAACGTGGAGTCGCGTGTGAAAACCTGCCGAAATGGGAACTTCGGATCCTGGCGAACTACAGCAATCATGTGCTATGTTAGTACCTGCGCGTGCTGTCCCTGCGGCTGCGCGACGGCAACAGATTGCCGCTTCCGTGAGAGCACTGCGCATGATTGCTGTAGTTCGTCGGGATCCGAAGTTCCCATCTCGCCAGGCAACCACACGCCATGCGCCGTTCTTTGTTTGGCTGATGTTGGTTTCGCGATTGCAGTGACAATGGCGACCCCCCTTGCCCCGATGACTGAGACGTTTCCCGGAGGCGGCCAGGCTGTTCGTTATTGAACGAGGCCATGTTTTCGTGTCGAGGTTGTCGTCACGAAACATGCGGCGCTCACGCCGAAGAAACGCCATCGTCATTGCAGCGAGCGGTGCAGGCATTCTCCATCGCGCGCACGCAACGTGTGCATTCTTTTTTCTGGAGCCCGCGGATGTTACGCGCACAGTCCTGGCATTTGTCGTACGGAATGCGATATCGCATCCCTCACGACCAGCGCCAGGAGCGCGCGCTCAACATCCATGGCCTCTATGGTGGATCATGTGCACGTTGTGTGCGCGGGATGGAGACAACAACAACTCTCCCGGGATTGACGCCAGAGTCTCTTCGGGGAGGGAGGCTGAAGTGTTGTGGCGAGAACACGAACACAGAATGACGACCCCCTCCTGTTTATGAATACCATACCTCTCACTGCACGCCACGTGGACGGCGGACATCCTTCCCACCGTGGCCACTGCGCGACGCTTAATACCAACAGTGGTCGCGCGCAGCCCATGCGGCACCCGCTTGTCGCTCACCACCACCGCCGCGACTACTGTCCGTCCATGCTGGCGCAGTTGGCCCCACGATGGATTCGAACCATCAGTCGTGGATTTGCAGTCCAATGCGTCTCCTTTGTGATAACCAGCCTCTAATCTCTTTGATGAGAACTGCAAACGTGCGAGGGAAGTGTTTCGAAGGGGTTTCGTGTTCTGCTAGGAATAGGCGATTTCGTGTTTGCCTCGGCCGAGCGGGAGTGGTTTGCAATGTTCAGCTTGTGATCAACGACCCTTTTTCTTCAATGCCAAGCCAAACAAGAATCGTGGGGGTGGTCGCGTGGAACGAATGAGAGACAAGCAGAACGGGACACGGAAACCGTGTGCCCCGATGTCTACGTCATCCGTTCCCGCCGTCCGAGCCACTTGCGACACGTGGCACGACATGATGATAATGATGACGACGGTGATGATCACGATGATGGTGACGATTACGGTGGTGATGTTGATCTGGACGACGATGTCGCTGATGATGACAACGATGTTGATGATGATGATGTTGATGATGATGTTGGTGATGATGATGATGGTGATGATGACGATGATGATGATGACGATGATGACGGCGATGACGACGATGTTGATGATGACGATGACAACAAAGATGACGATGGTGGTGATTTTGATGACGGCGACGATGTCGCTGATGATGATGATGTTGTTGATGACGTTGATGATGTTGATGATGATGTTGATGATGATGACGATGTTGATGACATTGATGATGTTGATGATGATATTGTTGATGATGATGATAATGTTGATGAAGATGATGATGATCACGATGACAATGATGGTGATGATGATGACGATGATGATGGTGGCGACGATGATGGTGATGATGGAGGCGATGATGACGATGATGATGACAAGCAAGAATCATGGGGCCGCTCGCGAGGAAAGAATGAGCGGGAATCAGAAGCCTCAGAAGGGGACACAGAAACCATGTGGCCCAATGTCACCGACATTCTTGCCCTCCGTCCCCGCAACTTGAAACAGGTGGCGCCACGCGGCCGCTCCCATGGGCCGACAAACATGCCTTACGTCCGACATGCGGGCAGGCAGAACAACACTTTACCTAGAAGAGGGCACAGCGCACACGATGGCACAGCTCTTTGACGGGTCACAGTTCTTTGACGAGGCGCAGTTCTTCGACGACAGCGAAGCGCACACGATGGCGCAACTGTTCGACAAGGGCTCAACGCAGACGGCGGTGGCCACTTGCTGACGCAGGACGCAGAGACGAGATGTCGAAGCGCAGACAACTGAAGCACAGACGACAGTTGTCGATGAGAGGAAACCCTTGCACCCATGCCCGCGGCCGCCTGGCGCAACAACGGAGCAGAAAAGGCGATGGAGGATGTCGCTGACGGAACGTCGCGCGCGAATGCGCTCGTCATGCTCGAGATTCGAAAGGGCTGCGCCAGACCCGAGGCAGCTGAGCCTCAGACTGTCGTCGCACCCCATGGAAAGACCCGCCTGTGTCCCCCCGCACAACCACAGACCCCGCTCGCCAGCCAGGAGACGCGAATGGCCGCGAACCCCTCCAACCTCCCCTTTCCCCCCGCCCCCCTTCCCCCTCCCCCCTCCCCCCTGGACAGTACAAACTACCCCCCCACGACACCTGAGACCCCCTCGATCGGGGCCCGCGAACCCGAAGACACGAACGCGAGGGGCCCGGAACAAGGGCCCGTTTTCCAATGACGTCCGGGAAGGGCTAGCCCGTAGGGACGTTTTTTTGTCACATTTCGACGCACCAGGCCCCCCTCGCGACAATTTCGACACGCAGCCACCGTTCGATGCGCGGATCGAACAGTCGCGCGTCGGCGCGCGGACCCTGCACGCAAATCCGAAACGGAAGGCTCGAGGGGGCCTCGTCTCCCGCGCGCCTACAAATACGAGCGGCGCCCTGGGCATTGATGATGCGTTCTGCGTTTTTGCTGGGGAGATGCTGCCCAACGGAAGCCACGCACCGCCACTGTCATCGACAGCTGGCGCGCCATAGCTGGCACAACCATTCTTCACCGCTCACGTTTCGTGGCACTGATGCACCCCACTTGCCATCGCATGTCCCTTCGCCTATCAAGTCGCTGTCCACGTCATATTCGACGTCGCTTCCGATCTCCTTTCTCGAAAGGCGCGCCCGCCACCCCACGCAGCACCCTGGCAAACGCGAAGCACACGCCCAAAGGTGAACAGAGTGCCGTCACGATAATCGCTGGGGTTCGCGCTCATCTTCACTCGACAGTTCCACACGGTGAGTGCGCCACGCAGTCGGGACGTATGTGTGCATGTGCGCGCGTGGGGGGAGGTTTTTTGTGACGATATGCTCGCGCAGATCGAAAGATTTCGTGGTTGCATGGGTGCGCGTGGGCGTGTGTATGTGGGTGTGTGTTTGTGTGCGATTGTGTGTTTGTGCATGCTTCATTGTGTGTGTGTGTATTCGAGTGCGTGTTCCTTTGTGTTTGTGTTTGTATTGAAGTGTGTGCCACACGCGCGAGGCAGGATCGTGCGCGCGTCTGTACCTGAGGGGCGTGTGTGTGTGGGCGCCGTGTGTCGGCGTGTGTGTGTGTGTGTGTGTGTGTGTGTGTGTGTGTGCGTGTGTGTGCCTGTCTGTGCATATTTGTTCTCGTGCGTGTGTGCTCGCGCACATTTTTCGCGGGGAGATGCGCGCGAACGTGCGCGGTCAGGGATGAATGACATGGTTTGCACTTCGATTCCGCTTCTGCTGCAATCGGTAACGAACGGCGCATGTGTGTGGAAAGTATCAAAAAACGATTGCGCTCGTGCTGTACTCAAGTGGCGAAGCACGGAAGCTCGGATCGAACACGTGGCGACCAATAACAAAACACAACCTCATCGTGAGCACTTGCCATACCCGATTGATTTTGTGTGTTGTCCCAATGTCATGTCCGCCGATCTGCCCAATGGATGATCAATCGAAACACGTGGTGGCAATGTCGACACAGCGAACGCATCCATCGACCAATCGCGAAACACGATGGGATCACTCGCGATCGGATGATTGATCGTGTCTGCCGCGTCGACGTTACCACAACATGTGTGTTGTTCTTTCTGTCGTGTGTGTTCATATCACTCATGATCGGATGGTCGATCAGATCCATGACAATATGTACACCACACACGTGATGGACCGACCCATCACGAAACACAAGCCGACCACTCGCGATCGGGTGATAGATGCTGTTTGCTTCCCCAACAACATCGCCGCTGATCTGCCCGATGGATGATTAACCAATGCACGAGGCGACAACGCATCCAACCGACCAATCGCGGAACGACAGAAGATTACTTGCGATCGGATGATTGATCGTGTGTGTTGCACCGAAGATCAACCCGCCGGCGAGCGACCTGTTTATTTATCCACATGACAGTCCTCGACCGAACAGTCGATCGGTCAGGAAATCTGCAAGGATCAACTGATTGGTTGACCGCTCTATTGGCGATTGCTCTACTGGTGATCAACCACGACACCGACCGCCAACCGAGCAGCCGATAAATCAGTTGATCCTGGCAGATTTAATGACCAATCGACTGTTCTGTGCACATTGATCGTGGAGAACGATCGAGGAGAAGCCTGAAGGCAATTGATCATGTGCACGATCGAAACCGGCGAGCGAAACACACAACCGATCGAAAAAACGTCGATCCCGATCTGCGAACGAAGAAAAAGCACTTCGTCACAATTTTGTTGCACATCGAACCTTGGAGGACGTAGGGTCGTCGACACTTGACGGTCACTGAAAGGCGAACGTTGAGCACCCACCACCCCACGCGTCGGCGACACTGTTCTCAGGATCGGAACGTGGCCGTTCCAATCTGGGCCATACCAACCGAACTGATCGCGCAATCAAACACCGGAAGAAGTTGGGATCCTGGCGAGCTTGTGCAGCTGTTTGAACATGCTTCTCAACCCCGGTACGCAACCACAGCGAGGGAAGTGGAAAAATATGAAGTCCGCCGGGATGCGAACTTCAAGAAATTGCTGGATGGCGAGTTTGGCAAACAGGTGTGTATCTCCCATGCAATTTCGCCAAGTTCGGATTCCGGCGAACTTCATGCAGCTGTTCGAACACGCTTGGCAACCCCGGCCCGCAACCACAACCTGGGACGTGTAAAAATTTGAAGTCCGCCGGGATCCGAACTTCAAGAAATTGCTGGACGGCGAGTTTGGCAGACAGGTGTATGTCTCCCACGCAATTTCGCCAAGTCCGGATCCCGACGAACTTCATGCAGCTGCTCGAACACGCTTCGCAACCCCGGTCCGCAACCACAGATTAGGACGTGGAAAAATTGGAAGTCCGCCGGGATCCGAACTTCAAGAAATCGCAGGATGGCGAGATTGGCAGACAGGTGTGTATCTCAACGTAATTTCGCCAAGTTCAGATCCCGACGGACTTCAGGTTCCTGCTGGCCTGCGGATCCAAACCTCGCTCGCACTGTTCCTTGCACACTCGTCGAGTCCGGACCTCAGCGAACCTCGGATCCGTGATAATGCGAAGTCCGCCGGGATCCGGACTTCTCCTGCACGGTTCCTCGCACAGACGTCAAGTTCGCACCCCGACGACTTCGCTTGTCTCATTGTGCGGGTTCAGAACGCGGGTTTTCCAGCGCCAGGGGGTTGGCACAACTTTGTATTCGAAAAAATGTGAAGTCCGCCGGTTGTTTCTCTCCCCTGCGGTATCGCCAAGTTTGGATCCCGACGAACACCAGGTTCCCCTCTGCCCTCCCGTGGGTCCGGACCTGGTGTGCCCGGTTTCCCGCACTCAACCCATGCCAAACCCACGCCCAAACCCTCCTGTGAATCCGGACCTCGCGTGGCAAGTTCGGACCCCGGCGAACTTCGCGTCGCGCATGGTGTGGGTTTTGACTGTGTCCTTTCTCACGAACGGGTGTTTGCCACAACTTTTGTTTCGCAAAAATGCGAAGTCCGCCGGGATCCGTACTTCTCATGCCAAGGTTCCTCGTCCCATCGTCGGGTTCGCCTGCTGTGCATCTCCCGCGCAATTTCGCCAAGTTCGGATCCCGACGAATTTGAGCTCTCTTCCCTTCGCGATGCATATGGCAGGAGATGTTCCCGCTGGGCCGTGGATCCGAACCTGCCCTGCACGGTTCCTCAGACAATCGTCAATTTCGGATCCCGGCGGACTTCGGATTCTATAAAATGCGGAGTCCGCTGAGATCCGAACTTCTTGTGCACGGTTCGTCGGAAAACCGTCAAGTTCGGACCCCGGCGTACTTCACCTTTCGGGTGGTGCGAATCGCGAGACATGACGCGTTTACGAGTGTCTCCGTGCTCGTGTGTGTCGTCAGGCATGTGCGCGTGGTGTGCAGGTTGCGTGATGGAGGGGACCTTCTCGACACCACGGGTCTTCGAGTCGATCTTCTCGACACCACAGGAAATGAGTGCCGAGACGCACATTCGCTTAGCAGAACCTTTTCGTCCTTGTGCGAAATCCGTGCGGCATTTCAATGGTGTGACAATGATCCACAGAGCGACCGCAGAGGACTTCGACGAGGACCCATGGATGACCGTCGTCCCGTGCATGGACGCGCATCTTGACGACTGGGGCGAGGGCGATTGGGACAATATGGAGAGTCGCTGCCCTTGGGCAAGCCATTAGAAGTTCGCAAATATGTTGGAGTTCGGGGACCTCATCCCACTGCCTGATGCCGTCCTCGGACATAAGTTCTTGAACCATATGCGCAGAGCACTAAGCTGCATTAGCCGCTATTTCAGTCGCGTCGAGTGCCACAACGTCAAGTCGTCGCCACGAACTTGGGGGCGCTCACTGAAACAAGAGTTGGTGGATTGCGCTCGTCGCTGCTTGTTCCTGGACCAGTACCCGCTCCGTGGCCCCGGGATTTCTCCACGAGCTGTGTCGTACTGCTATGTGCGGTTGACTGTGTCCGGATCTGATTTCGACAGAGTTCTGTGTGTCGCTGCTTCGAACAAGAGCAGGAAACTCGTCGATGCAGTTGTGCTCGTGTCGCGCAACGAGGTCGTGATTGAAGGGTCCAAATTCATGTCGATGCGTGGGCCTGAACGTGTGGATGGGTGGCCAGATTTGGTGATAGCAGGTCAGGTTTGAAACTACTCGTTGTGGCATGATGTTGAGGAGAAAGCGGCTGACCTACGGGATTGCATAGGAAACTCCTTGGCACGACCGGGGGTGTTTGTTAGGATGAAATACATGTCCGTTTTTTCGGAGAGTGCATCGGTCGACGAACCGCAGACCCGCGTATACGGATTGTCACTAAATGCTTTGTATGGCTTCGGTTCACGACGTCGTCCCGGGGGATCCCCAAATGTCGCCGCATCCGAACCGGTCTTTAGTCCTTCTGTTTGAGGGAAAAGAACGGCGAGGGACGAGATGCGGTTGTGCTTCCTAAAATGTCAGATTTGTAGGACTGCAGAGAAGTATGAGACTCCGCGGTTGCTGGTACACGCTGCACCGCGCGCTTGTCGTGCAAATCCCTGGTCGTCGTTCGGTTCAGTGACTGACGAAAGTCCTGTTGGACGTCCGTCTTTAACGCCGTCTCCTTCCATGTCGTGCCCCGACGAAGTTCGGATCTCGGCGAACTTCGCGTTCTGGCCTCTTTCGTCCACCATCAACATGTGCCAAACAGTTGGTCACTGTCGTTGTGAGATGCCAAAAGCACTCTTAGAGATCCCCGTCGCAAGGTCGCGCGAGCTTCACGTTTCCTGAAACCCGTTGGCGATCCCGGTTGGCGGGCCCTCTTGTTGGAAATCCCGTTGACACCTTGCTAGGAGCCCAACTTTCTGTCTGTCTCTCTCGAAGCCTCCTGAGGTTCGGATCCCGGTGAACTTCCTGTGGCGCCTGTGTATTGAACGGGCGCTGGTCTTGATGATCCCCCGTGGATTGCGGCACGAGTCAACCCTGATCCACAACTGCCCCTCCAGGGACTCATGCAATGTTGTCGCGGCTGCTGCGTTCGAACTTGGCTTCATCCAATGCCAAGCTGCGCATATCAGAAGAAGTTCGGATTTCGGCGAACTTGTCCTTCTCAACCGGCCTTTTGTGTTAGTGCGGCCTTTCCGGATCGTGGTTTAGTCCACGGACCGTGTGTCTCTGACGCCGTCTCTGCCTGTCGCATCGTCCTGAAGTTCGGATCCCGACGAGCTTCACGTTTCGGAGGGTGCGTTGGTTTGTCTTCGGACAGACACGTCCTGGGGTTCGCACAACCCGCCTGGCGAGGTGGAGAACCCGTCTCCGACTTCTGGTTTCGATCAAATGCTGTAACAGTTGCGGAGTGTGTTCGCTCTTGCACGGTTCTGAAACGCTGGCTGCGTGGGCTGGCTCTCTCTCTCTCTTTTGCACCCCATCTTTTAGTACGGATCTCGGCGAACTTCGCATCCTAAACTGTCCGGGTTCCGAGTGCAAAAAGGAAGACACTGCCCCATCCAACGTGAGCTTTGTGCATCACCTCCCGTCCATTCCCGATCCGGTCGACATCCGTCTTCCGAGAACACCGACGCGGTTGTCGCCCGGCTGCATGAAGCGTGTGCCATTGTAAAGAATGATATCGTTGCAGATAAGAGGTTATTGCTGGTCTTCGCATTCGAAGTTCGCCGGGATCCGAACTTCGAGGTCCTCGGATGGCGTCATGTGACCGATGTGTTGAGGGCAAGGTGTGCCTCCTGTGTTTTTCGCCTGCGTTGTACTTTGACTGCGATTTGACGCTCACTGGTATTTTATTTGTTTTCCGTTATCGTCCGCAGACAATATGTCTTCGTCCAAGGGCGAAGGGGAGCCTGCAGCGACCTCCGGGATGGGATCTGGGAAAGATTCTACAAAACGGTCGTCTACGACCTCGAGGACGTGGTCCGACCACGCTAGGTCGAAATGGTTCGTCGACTGGTGCTGTAGGGATGCATCAAACCCAGTGCAACAGCCGTGTGGTCCTGTGATCTTCGTCGAAGCCAACAAGCGGCGTAGGGTGCTGGGGGCTGTCTTGCGGTGGGAGAATGCGAAAGGCAATCGTCGACGGTTCTACATGAAAAATGTCTACGGTGCGAAGGGGAATATTGTCGCCGGTGCCAAGGGGGCGATTCTGGACATGTGTCTGTTCGAGGGTTTCGGAGCGGGTGTTGCGAACACCCCGTTCTGCAACAACCTCCGGCGGCACGGCGGGTTTGTTTTGGGTCGGGAGTTGTTTGACTTGTTGGAGGGCAAGGACATCGCCCTCGACATCCCTTGCGAAGTCAGCCCCGACTTGGAACTGTCAATGCCTTTGCAGCCGTGCGGCGGTTGTGAGTCGAGCGGGGCAGCGAGGGAGGGGGGGGATCTGGGTTCCGGGGAGGCTACACATGTGCAGCGGGAGGATGCCAGAGGTCAGTTTGACGACAACGAAGATGAGGCGACACCACGTCCGCCGTTTTTGCCGTCGAGGGAAAGAGACATGTCCGTGCTGTCCATACCCGGGGTCCGGCAACAGACCGCAGCGGATCCCGGAGAAGAGGGATTCCTGTGTGGGTCTGACTTGGAGCCCGCCGAGGGCCATGGCGCGGAAGGCGAGGCCGTGGGCGGGGAGGGAGCGCAGGGCACTCCCCAAAAAAGGAGGGGAGAATGTCAAGAAGAGTTGGTGGGCTCTTCGAAGAAACAGAAGACCAAGACCCCGAGGACTGCGGGAGAGAAATGGAAGGGGAGGGGGGTGGAAGAGGGCCACCCGGGTAGCAAACGTCCAGCTTCGAAACATAAACAACCTGAGTCGGGACCTTCTACACCATGGCCTGCCATCGACGTGGACGCCGGGTACTTCCTGGAGTACAGGACAAGGCGGGAGTTTGAGATCAGCCCGGCTCAGATCGTCGACATAAGGGAGTGGGAGGATCTTTACAACCAGTGGTCGCTAGATCCGGTCCTCGTGGAAACGATAAGGGAAGCAATGTGGTCTGCGTTCGAAAATAAAGAACAGACGTACGAGTTGCCGGTCTTCAAGCTCGCACCACTGAGGCTTCAAAAACCAACTCATGGGATCAAGGCACAACGTCAAAAGCCGGAGGAGTGGAAGGATGAGCTGGCGGGAGAATACTACTACTACTCGGTGTGCGCGCAGCACAACGCAGCTGCAGCTTGGTCGCTGCTCGGCAGCGAGGTGGCCAAGAAGTACAATTTCGAGCGGTGGCCGGCACGGATGGTGTACTTTTCCGACGATGACTTCGAAGGGTATTTTCTTGTTAGTTCACAGGACAACAAAAAGGACCTCAAGGCACCTCCCAGATAGTTGAAACTTTCTATGAAAGACATTCGATGGCAGTGGAAGCATGATGGCTGCCCAAGAGCTATGATGGGGAACCCTAGCGGGAAACAACTTTAGGTCCGGGATTGGCGTAAGTTTTGTACAACGGCGCTCCATAAGGCGCCTCAAAACAGCTTGTGGCTTCCCGCGGATCAAAAGGAAGAGGAAGCCATTAAAAAGCAAAATGTTGCCCTGCGTTCTTACTTACCTATGGCGATGGCCGGGGAAAATGTCTGGAAACTGGCCGTGGAATTTTTCGAAAAATGGGAGACGGACAGATTGCTGAGCCATGACGGGGCGAAGTGGATCGTCAAAAAGAAGAAGGTCAAAAACGTAAAGCCAAGGGTCGCCTACATCCACAGTGACAAATTGGGCAGAACGGAGGTAGTGTACAACGTCCCCGTGGACCCGCCGAACAAAAAGGGCAAAAAGGAGAAAAAGGAGGGCGATGGACTCGTGCAAGTGCCAGACCCGGACGCGCATTGTTGGAAAACAATGGAATCACTCACGGATAATGAGAAGTGTCGCATTCTGAAAAAGGTGCTTGCTTGCGAGGTCGTTTGGGTCCAGGCCGGCTCTCCGTCGTTGGCGAAGTTGGGAAAGCTCAGCGTGCAGGACATGGTGCAGCTGGTGAAGTGCGACCACGTGCTGGTCTGGTTGTGGAACTACTACCAATTCAAGCACGAGAAGAGGTCAGACGCGGACTGGATCCAAAGGTACCCTTTAACTGAGATCGAGGTCTGCCGTGTTCAAGAAGTTTGAAGGTCAGGGATTGGATGACGAGTTGTGGGATAACAGCAGGAAACACGTTTCCGACTCGGCGCTGTTCAAGGACTGCCCGCCGTAAATGGGTTGCGACCAGGACAACTCGATTGAGGTGACGGAGAAGTTGGCGGGCCACAAGAAGTTGTCCGTCGACTGGAGAAACAAGGTTCTCTCTGTGTTGAATGGAAGCAGACTGAAGAGCCGGGAAGTCGCACTTGCCGAAGGCGTCATTCACATTAAATGGAAAGACACGGGGGACGTGACATCCATCGCGCCGTTCGCCAACGACCCTTTAGAGGCGGACATCAGGGGCGCAAAGCTGAAGGAGGCAGTGACTGCCACAAAGAGCCACACGTTCGTCCTCGATCTGTGCGAGCTGGTTGACCTTAAACTGTGGAAGCCCCAAGCGTGGGAGACTTTGAATTCCTATCTTCAGACGTGGTGTCCCTCGCATTGGACTCTCGTTGTTTTCGTGCCGCGGCAGCACAACCTGTCATTTCTCGCCAGCATGCACCATCTTTCTTTCGTCAAGCTGTTGGAAGGGAAGTGGGTGCGGAGAGTGCAGCAAAAAAAAAGCTTCCCCGTTGGGAACAATTTGTACACGGAGGAAGACTGCATGTATATCCTCTTCAAGGAAGACGATCTGCGCGTCAACACGTCCGTGGTCTACGAGGGAAACCTGCCCAGGGGTGCCGCTGTTGCGGTGCGATTGCCTCAGAGGGTCACCCAGACGGATGTGTCCAAGATTCCTTTCACGCCTTGCGACTGGTCGCTGGTGGCGCCTGAACGACAGGGCAACGTCTACGGGGATATGGAACGCAATCCGACACAATTCGTCGGTCTTCTTGATTTTCTTGGCAAGAAGGGGGAGGTTGTCGTGTTTCTTGAGAAACCGCACGCGCAAAGCGTCTGGGAGCTTCTGAAGGCCGGCCGGCACGTTGTCGCAATGGAAGGGAACTCCGACCTCTTGCAATTCACGATGCAGGTGGTGAAAAGCGAGGTCAATTCGGGTGGGCACAATTGTGAGTTCATAGTCGTGAGGCCAACACGGGATAAGGTGTGGAGCAACAAGACGGATATGTGTTTCAAGTTGAGCGAGAGGAAGAGGAACAAGATATACGATTTCTTGTTCCTTCAAACGCGTCCGAGGAGGGACACTGACGGTGAGTACATCAGCCGGAAGGAACACGTGTTGGCACTGCTCGACAACTACCACTTCGCCTCCCGCATGAACGCGAAGACGTTTATCGAAAGACTGCAGTCGCTGTACTTCGTGGAGTCCGAGGAGCAGTTGAAGTTAGCCTGTTACACTTCCCTGATCTCCACTGACGACGAGGAAGCCATAGGTGTAGAGTTTGTCGCCAACACAAAGGAGGAGGAGAGCGACACGGAGAGCATCGACCTGCAGTACGACCCGCCTCCGGCGGACCACGGCCGAGGGTCCTCGTCGACCGGTCCATCACCAAGCGCTGCAGCCCTCGTGTCACCCTTGGCCAAACCGGCGCCGGGCACCACGCCGATGTAGTTGCTGGAGAGACTTAGAGCTCTGGCCGCCCCCCCCCCCGCTTTGCGTCCCGGGTCCGTCGTCCCGCCCAATCATCCGTCTTGGAAGGATGACAACATCCAGTTCTTGCATGAACCGCAACGTCATGCACCTGAGCTCGACTGGGGCCATGACATGGTTTGGCATCCGGGAGTCATCCAGCCAGCGATACGAAATGGCGAGTGGGTCATGGCCGTGGCAATCTCGGGCGCGGGATGGGTGTCATTCCCACGCGAGTCGAAGTCCAACTTCTTGCACCTCGCGAGGATTTCGGTCCTCCAGAAAGTGAAGGTCGAAAATGACACTTTAGCACCCGGCGACCTGTCCCTCATTTCCACTGCCGGTCGACTGTTCGACGAGCTTCAGGACAAGTGCTGGTTGGAATTGACGGAGGACTACTACGAGCTCGACACGAGTCCGTCGAAGGGCATGGTGGACTGGAAAGTGCCCCCTCCCAGTGGGCCGGACGGTGGTTCCGGGGGGGGGTCACCTAGAAGCGGAGGGGATGGGGGTGGCGACGCAGGGGGTGGCAAAGGAATCCCGCCTATGGGGGAGAGAGGGTTTCGCCGTCGACCGGACTGGCGGGTTTCGCCGTCGACCGGACTCCGTCGACAGGGGAGGCAGCGCCGGGGTGGCGGGTTTCGCCGTCGATCGGACTCCGTCGACAGGCACCCGACCCGAGCATACGACACACTCCGCCGACCCCCCGACTTTGTCCGTGGGCTCAGCGAGGGACACGTTGGCAGCCTTGGTTGCTTTAGGCAGTCGCTCGGCCGAAAAGCCGGAGTCCGCCGGGATCCGAACTACGTCGGGTGAGGAGCCGCCAGAGCGGTCCGGAATGCGAAGCTGCTCGGGGTCGGGGGATCCAAGCAAGGATCGAGAAATTCGCAGCATTGCGGTGCGGGACGGAGACGTTGGAAAGGTGTCGCCTGAGCGGGAGCGACGGCTGCAAGGATTGCAGTGGGAGGCTGCAAGTGCAGGGTCCGGCGACACGGAGACCACGAAGTCTGCCGAGATCCGAACTTCTTCGGGCGGGGTTTGTCGGCCAGGGATTGTCGTGCCGTTGAGAGGGGCAGCGTGCACGGGGACGGAAGGGCGGTCCTCGAGATTCAGCACGGGTACCACGGAAGGGGACGAGTTTCGTGGGAGGGAAGTAGGGGAGAAAATGGAGGAACAGAAGGGAGCGTAAGAAGGGGAGGAAGAAGGGGAAGAAAAGGTGGAAGGGGAGGAAGCGGGAGAAATGGAGCTAATTGATTTGTTTGAAGGAAGGGAGGGTGTCGGGTCTGGAGAAAACGAAGTGGAACACAGTGAGGACGATGCCGGATCTGGAGAGTCGTCTGACGAGTTCGGACAACTGTACGGAGAGCATCACGAGGATGATGTCGACGACGATGCCACGACAATAGAGATGGAGACACAAGTGATCAGCAGCCTTTTCGCAGAGCCTGAAGATTATGCGGTCCGGCCACTGACGTCTGCTGTCGACTTGCAACAGCGGTTCGACGAGGCTTCCGTCGCTATCAGCCCATCTGAAAAAAGTCGACGTATAACCATCGACGAAGTTATCGACGGTATCCTAGGCGACCACAACGTGTCTGCCCGTCCGTCCGCAACTGCCAACATCGCATCTCCCGTGGCAGCTGCACTCGTTTCATCGCCGCCGAAGTCTCTGGTGCTGCCGGCCACCCTTGCCGCCGAAGGGGAAGGCGAGTTCGGTGGAGGACAACATGTGACGTCCCAAAAAAAATCGAGGTTCGGCGGTCAAGCTCTCGACGTGCTCGCTTTGCCTGCGCCAAATTCACCATCGAAGGAGCGGAGAGAGAAACAGACTGGTAAGCCGTGAAGAACGCCTGCGCATCCGGATGTCGCCGGATTACAGTCCGCGTTGTACACACGACGACTGTCCACACTGTCTGTACATACGGGAAGTTTCGGATGTCGGCATGCTACAGCCAGCAGCCCTTCGTACTCCAGCTCGTCGGCCTATCTGTGACTCGCCCGGGTTGCTAGTCGAGGGCGGCGAAAACTTCGTCCAAAACCTTACACTCCATCCAACGAAGGATCTGCCCCGGCTGAGGAAGTGGCCAAGGTGCTAAGAAAGTGGCTAAGTAGATGGACTGACAGTTTTCCCTTCTCGGAAATAGTGCCGGTTTTAGTCCGCCGGGATCCGAACTTCCTTTGTCGATGCGTGATGTGGTCAGTCTCAGTGGCGCTCGTGTGTTGAAAAGTCCGCCGCAGTCCGAACTTCGGGGATTGCTGGCCTCCGGCTTCTGTGATTTGTTGTGGTTTTCCTTTGCGAAGTGCGGGGGTGATAAGCTCGAATGTTGCAGTCATTTTGTTTTCTAGTCGCACAACCGCATCTGGGTGCACATGACCACGAGAGATCAGGGTCCTGTGGTCGGAGAGGTCCTGCTTGACTCTAGGCCAAGGTGCTAAGAAAGTGGCCAAGTAGATGGACTGACAGTTTTCCCTTCTCGGGAATAGTGCCGGTTTTAGTCCGCCGGGATCTGAACTTCCTTTGTCGATGCGTGATGTGGTCAGTCTCAGTGGGGCTGGTGTATTGAAAAGTCCGCCGCAGTCCGAACTTCGGGGATTGCTGGCCTCCGGCTTCTGTGAGTTGTGGTGGTTTTCCTTTGCGAAGTGCGGGGGTGATAAGCTCGGATGTTGGAGTCGTTTTGTTTTCCAGTCGCACAACCGCACCTGGGTGCAAATGACCACGCGAGATCAGGGTCCTGTGGTCGGAGAGGTCCTGCTTGACTGTTGCGYCTGTACGAATGTATGGTTCTCATTTTCCGTTTTGTCTTTCTTCTGTTGTACAGGGGTGGTATCGTCTCGAACACGGAGGTCCTCCAAATATCCAGAGCACATATTGCAGAAAGTCCCCGGGTTGAGTACAAAACACAAGGATATGTTAAAGGCATCACAGGTTGATGTCGAGATCGGGAAGAAGGAGTACACCGTTGCCATTGAGAAATGTCTTTCCCTTCTTGCCCCAGAGAAAGGGACATATCCACGATCTGTGAGTAGGGGTCAGGCCATGTATGCGAAGTACTTAGCAACGCGTCATGCACCGGGGGACAATGCTTTCACTGCGACGATTGCGCCTCTGAGCTTGCGGGTTTTGAATGACATTGTACGAGGCTCGGTGCCTTCTAACACTATTCTCTCTATACTGGGCGATGGTCAATTTCGGATTGCAGCAAAAAATCTCCTCACCCTCTTGCATGTCAACGGCAGGGTGAATGCTGAGGTGGTCAATTTCTATATGGCGTTGTTGGGGTCGACCGCATGTGGGTCACGTGACATCTCTTCAGGCCTTCAAGTCTTCAGCTTTAATTCGTTCTTCTTCAGTAAACTGCGACTTCAAGGACACGGTGGGGTGTAGAGGTGGGCTAAGAACGTAGATTTGCTTCGTTACGATATTATCTTCGTTCCTGTCCACAAAGATGATGATCACTGGATCCTCGTTTCCGTCAACATGAGAGATGATGTTCTCGAAATTTTTGATTCTTTTCCTCACATTGTAGCTGATTCTAGTTTTTACCTTAGTGTTTTCGGGTTGATTGTGCAGTATTTGGAACATCAAACCTCACATGGGCAGTCGGGTAGGAATTGGAAGTCCATAGTGGGAAATGTTGTGGTGGATGGAGTTCTGAGACAAGTGGATGGAGCAAGATATGGTGTGTTCATGTTGATGTATGCGACGTTGTTGCAACGTGGAGATCGACCGCCTTTCCGGTTCTCTTGTAAAGATATTCCGCTTCTTAGATGACAATTAGCATCATGTGTCTTAGAACATCGTTGTCTTTGATGGATTTGATTGACTTCAAAACTTTTTTTTAAGGTGTTTCATTCGTTGATCGTTGAATTTCGTAAATCGAGACATTATTCAACTGTCCTTCTGCCTGAGGCATTGCTTTCTTTTATCGTTCCGAGTTCGCGTTATCTATGGCAAACTCAATGCATGTCCTGTGTCATGTATGGGCTTTGTAATCTATGTCACGTAATGTTCCATGTTCCGAATTCTGTTCAAGTTGAAGTATTATGTTCCATGTTTSGAATTCTGTTGAACTGGAAGTGTAAACATGATTGTGAAACTGGTTGGTGGATGAATGAGAAATCTCATCTTATGTGAAATTGGTCAGTGGATGCCCAAACCTTCTTTGCATGACCATTTAAAATGCGGATATTCATCATGATGGAGCACAATTTAAAGTTCTACACTTGTACATAGAATATCGAAATTAAGTGGTTATTGAAATACACCTTGGCCATCACAACCGTAAACAAGTATGGATCTCAGTGCCCTCATGTCAGGCGAGATGATGAGCGTGCCTATATGCGGAATTTATGCAAACACACCCATCATCTCACCCGAAATGATTGTTTGGATGTTAAAGAGATTTGGACTTATGCAAGCATACCCGTCGTCTCACCCGAGACGATTGTTTGGATGTTGAAGAGATTCGGACTTAGGGATAACGTAGTAAACAAAAATTTGATGTGTTAACCAACAACAGTTCAATCATGACACCTTGCTCATCACATACACAAGCTTTGAGTTTAACAAGTATGGATCTCGACACACTCCTGTTCCAATCTGCCAGGGTCACAAGTCTTCTAAAACCAAGTCCGTATCTCATCATACATCTAAACAACCGTCTTCAGCAAGACGATGAACCTGCATGTGTGCCTTTGGGATAACCGAAAGAATTGTACTCTCCAATTCAATCTAATTACATTGCTAATTTTGTTTACAAAAGTTCACAACTATGGATGTCAGCAAACTTTCGCATTTGGGGCGACTGGGCGGGCATGCCCATGTACAAACACTGCAGTCAAAAATGAATTCGTAAGAAAGAGGACAGTGTCATATATAGTTACTGTATCTTTCATCACATTTATGAAATAAGTTTGACAAGTAAGGATCACGGCACACTTCCGCACAGGGTTCCCTTTGGCGTGCCAATCGTTGTTCGTTTATGAAGTTTGACTAGTATGAATCCCAACACACTTCCCCATAGGATCACCAACATATTTTTGAAGTTCAACAAGTAAGGATCCCAACACACTTCCGCATTTGGGATTTCATTTATGAAGTTTCACAAGTATGGATCTCAGCACGCTTCTGCATGTGGTTAACCCCTAGATGGGCATGCCTACGTTGCTTAGGCTGCAGCCAAAAATTAATTCGTTAGAAAGAGGACACAGTATAATGTCATATTTTAACGAATAACGTGTTATTCCCATATTACGTCACCTCTAGAATGCAGCCGGTATTATATTTCTAATAGTCTTGCATTCTGCTCCTTCGGATGAACTGAGTAGACAAGGGATAGTCAAAAGAATTGCCGTCTCTTTGAAATCTTGAATTTCATTACTGACTCAATACATTCAAATTCATCGCTCCTCCTTACGATATATATATGATAATTTTCCGCTACTCGTTATGTACTTCCTTTGTTTGGATATTACCCTCGACAATTGCAAACCTTCACAGCAATATAGGTCGGACACGACATCCTTCACTTGCTTCTGCCTATAACTACACCTGGATCCATGAGTAAGATCCGCAAATGATTACTACTATATCTAATTCAGATTATATAAATCCACAAAAACTAGATGATTCAAACCCTCCGGTTGATTACGAAAGGTCATAGCCAACGACCTCAAGCCCAAACTGTACTTGATGTACATGACTACGTTTTTTTTTGTAATTTTATATCTAGCGTAATCCCCGTCGTTTTTCCGTCCAACGTCATCCGTATGATCAACCCAGAAGCAGCAGCGTTTTCTACACACTATCATATTTCTAACCATTCCGATCACCCCGCCCTTTACACAACTACTATGTGACCCCCTCGGCCTCGGTCGCCTCCGCCTCGTACGCGCCAGGGCCAGGCGGGGGCGCGCACAAGTGTAAGTATCAGTGTCGTACCCCCGTTCACTGTTCACGGGGTTGGTGAACGCGGGCCGACCACCGGTCACGAAAAACGTGACCGGTCGTAGTTCACGGAGTTCACACAAAGTGGGAACTCTGTTTTTTTTTTTTTTTGGCTGGTAGGGGGGTGTTTTTTTGGAAATTTTTCGCATAGGTGTGTGGTCCATGTCAATGGGCACCTGCCCAATTTTTTTTTTTTAATGATCAGAATATATATATATATATATTTTATTGAAAAAAAAATAAAAAAATAAAAAAAGAAACCGAGTTCTCAGTTCGGTTGTGTTTGTTATAGCTTCCGTCGGCTGTACCCCCATTATGAGGGTGTTTTGGGGCCCTACAAAAAACAGTGACTGGCGACATCTAACACGGCGCAAGCGCCATACTACAACCACCAAAAAAAAAAAAAAAAAAAAAAAAAAAAGG